GATATTGGCGGCGACTTCGGACGTTTTGCCGATTTTCGAAAGTCGCGACTTCGATAGCAAAATATGCTTTACCCACAATTCATGTAATTTTACATGGATTTCTCACATTAGCTAGAATGTTTTCAGTGATTTTAGACTATTTTTATTTTATTACTTGGTAATTAAAGATGCTGCAATGGCACCAGTGATGATAATTAGCACAGTGTTCAGTGGCATATTTGTTTGCGCGTTTGAAATTAGATCAAAAGCAACAAATCATAATAGAGCTTGAAAAATTACCTATTGAAATATCAGAATTTAATATTATTATTATTAATAAAAATCGCGGCAATGTATGCCCCAAATTAACGCCAAGAGCACGAAAATACGTTATTTAACCATAATAGTCTTTCCAGAAAGGTATTATTTTGTTTTCTTTTTAGCATATGAAGAAAAAGAAAAGAAAGCTGACATCGTTATCAAGATAGACAAACAGTAAAACACTGGATGCAATATAAAGTACTATGCGTCACGCGTTGCTATATATATATAAGGAAAAAAAAAACGCTTCAGCTGTTTGACTTGGATTCCGTCTTAGGTTTGTTGCATTGAGAACAGTGTTTATTAATTTATACGCTTTGTGGACATACTGTAAAAAAATTTAATTATTGCCTTATTCTTGTGCTGCGAACAATGTTAAATTAATCAATCCTCTGAATACCCAAAAGTTTATTAAAAGGCCCGCAGTTCATTATTTCGCATGACAATTATCTGAGCGAGAAAAGGCAGCGAGAACGCACAAATATCAGCAGTGATGTTTTTCAACAGCTACAATATTCTATATTACCCCTAAGCCTGGTGTATGAAATACCCTGTCTTTAACGTGGCTGACAGGACCGCAGGCTGGTATGGTACTCATTGCTTATTATTGAACGCAGGATCAGCCATGCGACTCGTGTTCTATGCTTATCAGTCCTCCGGTGCGTGCACCTCGAAACGTCTCTGCAGCGCACCTGGAATGCCCAGCAGGCTGCTAAACGAAGTAATCCCCACGCAGCAATCGCGAGCGCCAAGACTGTTTAGGCCAACACAATGGTTATGATGGATTTCATATCGTGGCTATTTAGTCAAGGCAGTGCCCAATGTAGTCACGCGGAAGCTATGGCCGCTTTTCTACCCTCGACTTCAGATCGCGCATGATGCACGAGTATAGCGAGTTTTAGTAGACCGTGTTTCCCGCTCCGCTAAGTTCCTCCGCTACCCGGAACTCTACAGCCAAGGCCATCGGCGCGCAGGCGCAGTGGCGATTTCTTCGTATAGCGGAGGGCTAGCGGAGGGGGAAACACGGTCTACTAAAACTCGCCATTATCTCGAACGACGCTTTCCCTGGCGAGTGTACGTGCGCGGCGTGTCACCGATCGCACCAAGCGTTCCACGCATGCGTGACGCCGCCATAACTGTAGTTTCGTAGGAGGCAGACGCCAGTTCACGAGATAGCTCATGCCGCCACGTGCACTGCTCGCGCAGACCGCCAGCAGGGTTGTCGCGCGTGTAGAAAGACTACAGCTCCCACGATGCATGTCGCCGCGTACTCAAACTAGCTGGTGAGATCGGTCTATTGTTGCGCTCACTCTTGTAGCAGGATGCAACAACGATTGCAACAATAATGAGATAACTTTCTTTACACTCGAAAGCAAGTGATTTTGAATGAGCCTTAATAGGTCTGCCATGGCTTTTGAATCAAACCAGCTTTCGCACGAGCGACCTGGGTACACTCTGCTGCTTTCATGTTTACAGTCGCGATAAGGACTATCCGACGTACTTATTCAAATTTCCGAGCACGTGAAAGGACAATGCATCGCATTATTTGTTCGGCCTCGAGAACTACAGGATAGTGGCATTCATTTGCATGTTTCTTTTGTGCCGTATCTGCCGAGCACGTGAATACTCGTATGACATGCAAAGTGGCCTTGATTGCGCAACCCCAGGTCCCATCATTTGATGTTGATGAGGGCAATGGATAACTATGTCGTAGAACTCCAGAAACACTATATAAACGGTGTTTCAAATGCGTTGTCCTACGGTTTTGGAGCAACTACTGATCGTGTAAAGCCTCTTTGCTCGTTGTGAGATCTTGGAAAGTGTTCCCTTCCGGCACATAATGCTGTTGTTTTTGGCTGCCATCATCGTCGGAGCCGTCTTGACGGATCGGGTTCAGGGAGAGAGTAAGCTGGTTTCATTAGTGTAATATTTTTCATTTAAATGCCGCTCATAAGAAAGCACAACGTGAACGCAGTTTTAATACTAAAAGATTACACTAAACTTTTATAAGTAGCTTTGACAGTGTGAATTTGTCAACTTTGTATACTTGCTGACAACTTATTTGTGGCATTTCAAGATATGAAGAGTGTGTGTGCACATATTCGATAGACGCTCAAGCTACGCAAGAGCGAGTGCGCTGCTAGCATTCACTGCATAGCCGCAGAAAGTTGTACGCGACTATTCAAATGATTAATGTATGGCACACCCATTCAGTCGTAGCAAAGACTTTAATTTCTGCTAGTCCTAGCGAGTCTCACACCCAACGTTTGAAAAACGGCGCCAAAAAACAAGTATACGGTATCGTATTTGCCATCATAGTGACCAGATTATAAACCCGCTTGCAATCACATACATCGTCAAGAGATTGTCAGAGCGTGTTCACCAGATGCACGTTTATGATACGTGACAGTGAATGCAATCCTGGAAAGGATGAGAGTTGCCGTTCGCCAGATTGCTCCTGAAGGAAGGGCTCTTGAGGAACTCTTGAAGAAGGTCGACGACTGCAGGGTTTGTCTGGAGATCTCCAAAAGCGTCAACCCGGCGATTCTCACACAGGTATTGTGTAGCAGTGTAACGAAGAAAACGAGCAGGAAAAATCGGCGCCTGCAGATAGAAGACTTAAACATTAACTGAATGTGCATTGTACTGATGCATTCAGTGCCTTGTGAAATTTCGAGGCGTAGTTCTCTTGCTCTGAAAAATGAGGCCATTAAGCTTGCCGAAGTCAACGGCGGAAGTGTTCGCAGACGACCGAATTGGCGAGGAATGTAACTTGTGGCGTCATCCCCCGATAGGCGCAGCAAGCAGACAACAGAGTGCGTCGGCTGCTCCCTGGGCCTATCGGTAGTTGGCGCCACAAGTTCCGCCGTTGACTTTGGCAAGTGTGTGGGAAGAGGAAGAGAACACGACAACATCTTGGAATTTCAAATGCACCACCTCAATGAACATTCAGTAGATGCTCGAAGTTTCCTTGTGCAGGCTAGTGGCATCCGGGCTGTCCGGGCGGTGGCTCGCCGCGACCCCCCGCCTCTTTCACTACCCAGCTGCACCCGGAGCTGTCCTCCTCCCCCCTCCCTCCCTCCCTCCCCCCTTCCCCCCCCCCCCCCCCCCCCCCCCCCCACCGGGCGCCGATTTGCCGCTCGTTTTCAGCCTTTATAACGTAGGGTATGATTAAAGGGGCGGTGCAACAATTTTCGGACTTCGGTCAAAGATTTCTGGAAGATGCCCCCTGACACTTCTGAAGTAAAGAACAGAAAACCGATTTCGCCTGCGTGTCCTAGTTGTTGCGTAAAAAAAAGATAAAGATTGGCATTTCGGGCACCCCTCAACTCACTCCCAGTCTTCAGGGTCACACCTGGTCGCACTCCCAGTGACGTCATTCGGAGTGCCGTGTAGCTTCCCGTGTGCTATCTCGGAGGACGCTTCCCCTCCCTCTCTCTGCGTACATTAACGGGCGCTATGCTGCAGCTTAGAGCCGAGCGAGGTCACGTAATCTTTCCGCCGTAGTTCCTTCGGCTGCCACTTGGGGCTGCAGGTGGGGGAAAAAGCTCGACTTTTGCTTTGCGATTATGCAGCGGAATCGCGACATTTTTAATAAAGGAAGTGTTTTCTCTATCCTCTGGGATACGATAAACAACGTAAAAATGGCGAGATGCAAATTGTTTTAATCATAAAATCGTTGCACCGCCCCTTTAAAGTACACTGGAGCCACTAGCATAGCCTCCTCTATACTGACAGTATAGAGGAGGCTATGCCACGACAGAGCCGTATATGTAGAGAGTTTGGTCAATAGGAGGCGCGGGCAGAGCCAGGGCGTGCGGCAGACTCAGAAAGAGGGCTTGGCATGCTCTCTTGACCAACCAGAAGCCGAAAAGAATCCCCTAGCGGTGGTAGCGAGAAACAGTTCTGAGCCGATCGATCATCGAAGGTCTATGTTCGTATTATGGTGCCTCGATTGCGTCTTCGACTGGTGTGTTTACCGCCCTATCCCGCCCATACATCAAAAGTTGTCCCGATGTGGCAACAAATGACGCGAATGTCATGCTGTTGCCTGTCGCGATCCTGGTGGTTGGCCGTAGAAATGCTGGCGAAAAGCACGAGCGAACGCGAGTGTCGCTGTCGTCACGGAGTCCCTTTAGGCGTCCCAACTCCGGCTGCTGTAGCTTCCGTGAACTGTCACAGTGGAAAGCGACCTGCAGCAGAACAGGCATCTGCCACATACACCACAGCTGTTGGGACGCCACCAGGGTCGCGACCGGCGACAACATGACACTTTTATGACGTGATCAGGCGGAAATCGAGGGACCACTTTTTTGGCCGCGGTAAACACACCAGTCGGAGACGCGTTCCAGGCACCATCGGCACCATAGTTCGTATCAACGTTGGTTCGTATATGGTTTTAATAAGTGCGTAAGAGTGAAGTGTAGTAACTCTTTGTGGTTGAAAATAGGGTTCACGTGTTGTTTCATCATGATCATCCAGAAAGATGTAAGAAACGAATGCGCCGCTCAACTCTGTTTTGCGCGGACAGAGTGTGACCGCTCTGACGGCAGATTCCCGGCGCTCGGCGTTTGGCGTAAGGATTATGTCGATCTTTCTGCTAGTCGCACTCTTCCACCATCATTTTAGATGAGTGTGATTGAAACATCACGTGTACCATATTTTCAGCCATCAAGAGTTACTCCAATGCAGTTATCAGGTTTGTTTCTCGCGACCACCGCCAGGATATTATTTCCGGCTTCTGGTTGGTCACATTCGAATTTCTGAAGACGCCCTAAAACACGCCCAGCCCGCTTTCGGCCAATGGCGCCGCTTCATTTGTCTCCTATACTTCCCAACGAATGGCCAAACTCTCTACATATGCGGCTCTGTGCCACGAGATGAGCTACGCTAAAAGTATCGGCCGACGTTAGTATCGGCACTCTGTTCCCCGATATTGTTGTGGGCGCCGCCATCTTGGTGCTTTGCTCTTTCGCAAACTGTTTAAACATTTCTGGAGGACGGAAAAGCGCTTCCTGTGATTTCAGATAAAGCTTCACATAACTGGCAACCATGATTGTAAGCCCCAAGATGGCTAAGCGTAGTTACTCTGGAGCGTAGCTTACTTAGAAGCACTAGATCGTGGCGCCCTCCGGTGGCGGGCAATAAATGTCTGAGTAGTACCAGTAGTACAAGCCTGCCCAGTGCCAAGGCGCCAAGGCGGCCCCCGTGGCCTCGTCGCCTCGTTGGCCTCTTACAATAACAAACCTGTTCGGGTGGCCGGGTGGCTTTTTGCCTCTGTGCGCTGTTGTTATTTGTGCGTTCTCGTGGTCGCGATTTAAAATATGTCATTCGTAGTCGTCACCGCACAACGTTACCCCGGGGACCCGAGCTCGCCCCAAGCTAGTAATTTCTCCTTCGTCCAAGCACGTCGAAACCCATGCGCGGCCTCGATGCGTTCTATATGTCGCCGTCGACGGTACTGTTGCGTCGTCAACTGTCAAGAACAGAAAGAGCCCCGGATTGAACTTCTACGGATTCCAATCGAAACCGTGCGAAGTCGAGCGAAGGGAACGATACTAGCCGCCCAGCGCACTGAGTAAGCGAGACAATAGACCCTTTTCGAAATTCAGTGCCATCTGGTAGTTCGTAAAGCAGTTTAGGTTTTGCCATATCAATGGCGGAAATTAACTTGTATTGGCACCGTCACTTTTGCAAGTCAACAGCACGCGAGGAATTTTTTCGTGCGAGTTCTTACTCGATCACTTTCAGTTCGATGGTGACCAAGAACCTGCATACAGAACAAAGCTCCAACCCACTCAGATGCCTCGAAACATTCTGTACACCAAAGTGCTTTAAAGCCGGTTGTGTGCCGCCCACAGATTGATTGAATCTGAGTTATAAGAAATGAACACTTACGTAGCTCTTGTGTTCCATTCCTACGTCACGTCGTACTTACCCCCGAACGTACAGGCATCATCCGCTTAGGAGCATCTTGAACGTTTTTCGTTATCAGTCACTAGAAGGCCGCCATTAGTATGGCACAGCTGCCGTGCGACGGATGATGATAGGGATCAAAGTGGCCAGACTGTATTTCGGAAAGGGTCTATTTTTCTCGCCCTCCAGGTGCAAGGCACGGCCACTCGATCAAGCGGCCGTGGCATGCATCGAAACGTGCGTCATGCGAATTTTACGAACAGGAACACGCTATACTGTCCGATCAGTCGAGCGATCCGATTGAACTATACTTCGTTTCAGCAGCCGATGCTACAAGTGCGAGCTGCGGGCTTTCAGTGACCCTGTCAAGCACTGTTCGGGGCCACATGCTCGCGCTTGTAGCGTCGGAAACGATGTATAAATTGAGCATGCGCGCGCACCAACGCACCACAGAAATCAACAAGCATGTGCTGGAGGCGGAGCTCCTTCTGCTGATCTTATGTTGCGTGAAGCTTACATCGCAGATGTGTAAAAAAAGCCGCAACAGCTCGGAAGGCAGCTTACAGTCCTTCGTGCCGCGCTTGCCTCCCTCCCTTCCTCCATTCTTATTTATTTATTTATGTGTGCGAGTGTGTGTGTGTATATAAAGTCTTGTATGGTGCCACAGACCTACGAGTACGGGTCACTGGCCTTTTGGTGTGATCAAACTCTTCTCAAGAGTTAAATAAAGAAATATCAACGATGTAATCGGCCGACAGACAGCCGGTCGACGCTCGATCGCTTACGTCTGCTTTCGCGCATTTTCAAGGTTGGTCATCAGCTGATAGCGTTGGCTGTACGGAGGGGCTGCAGTTTGGGAGTTTTTGCTTAAAAGATGCCTTAATGTATCTCGTAATGCTCACCTCAAGCTCGATATCATAAGAAGCTCGCTGTTTTTGCGAGTGACAGAACACCGACACCAAATTTGCGGCTTCTTGTACAGCGTAGACGTAGCTTGCATCGCTGAGTTTATTCTCTTTGCGAAGTGTTGAGGAACGAAAGCAGCTTTCCACGTTAGAAATTGGCTCGATTCCTTGCCGTAAGACAATTCCACGAAAGGAATTCATACCGCCGGCTAACGTTTGCACGTGGGACAAATTGGAATGAGCAAGTTTGTACTACCCAATACCGATAAACAAATCGTACACACACAGCGAAAAAGTACACCCCTGGACGTGTAAACCGTTGTCCCAGGGCGGACTCCCCAAATGGTGCTCGTTTTACACGCGAGGCTCGGTGTATTTCGTTTGCACCCGAGGTCTCGTGTAAAATGAACATCTTTGAACGTGTACTTCGTTCTGCGATCACACGTCTAGGGGTGTTTTTTTACAATGGCGGCCGTTTGACGCAAGACGGGTTCTACGAGCGAGGCCCAGCGCTTTACACGGCTTTTCGCCGCAGCGAAAGCGTAGTTTGCACGTGTTCGTTCGTAATCGTCCATACGTGCTGAACTACCGCAAGCATTCACCCCCAAGCGCCGATGCCGTATCCATTACGGCGATTACGCGACAGTGGGAGCGACCATCGACTGCATCCAGCAGCGTGCTTCCCCATCGAGCAGGTCTCGTTCGCGTGGCGGTTCAGCCGATCGCCGAGGCCTC